TAACCACATCATTTACAATTCTGCCCCTGAGCTCCTGTATTTCAATATATAAAAGAGAAAGATAATCTCCATATGGCTTTCTCTTCAAAACTTCAACAAAAAAACATCAGAGCCAAATGAATGCATTTTATACCCATTCGGTATGTTATTTCCTATCTCATATTGCAGAGTTTCGTTTGATTTCCCCTGATAGAGGTGGTACTTGCCTGTACCAGCTCAATCAAGGAGGTTGCTGGCCTATAGCCCTGAAACATCCCTAACCATTATACCAACAAAGAGGGAAGGTTTTGGCCAACCAGCCCAACTGCTCGCCATACAAATTGGGAAACCCAGTTTATTAATGGTAATAAAGAAGCAACTCAAAATTAGGGGGAGCAGTGCCTTGTTCCCAATTAAGTCAATAGCCATTTTATCACTGACTGTGGTGGGATGAGGACATGGGTCACTGTAATTAAATTCTTTTTTCCTTTTTGAAGTTTAGGCTGCAATATATCAATTTGCTGTTCGTCTGACAGGACATTCCGGCTGCAATTTATTTAATGAGGAGAATCAGAGGAAGAAACAAATGAGGCAGGACAGCAGCAGAAGATTCATGGTGGGTTGAAAAGAGGAAAGCAGAGATGTCATTATCTGTCTACATGCTGTAAGAAGAACCACAAACTTGAGCAAAAAGAAAGACTTCATGAAGCTGATGGAGCTGTAAGATGGGAAGCGGTTTGTTTTCCCCAAACAAAATCAAATCAGGTAGATTTAGTATGGAGTTTTTCTCAGTATCTTGTAGGAAAGTAGCAATGAGCAGAGAGGACAGCAAGCAGTAAAAGGCTGTCCAGAGTGAACAGACAGCATGCAAGGAGACCTCCTCCCTCATCTGACACTCACACCACGTTGGATGGAAATAGCCTGGTGCAGGAACAGCAGAGACAACCGGAGTCACTCCTTTCCCTGCACTGGACATATGACATGTCCTGGGGTGCAGGTACACCACCCAGCTCCATGCACCTCCCCCTGAGCCTACATTAGGTAACGGAGCTCAGCAATACCAATGGACCTGTAGAACGAAACAAAGCAGCACCCAGGACCCAACACCCACAGCACGTGCATTTGGGGAATTTTAATGCAGACTAGGTCCAACCCGATCCCATGGACTAAATGCTTATGAGCAACCAGAGAGCCTTAACAGAGATTTGGAGCACATCATCCAGTGGAGTTTCACCCCAAAGAAATTCAGCACAGGCACCCTGAGGCAGCTCCACAGCATGAACCCAAGCACAGCAAGTGGGGACAGTCAGGAAATCCACTTCAAAAACATGTTCCAGATGTGACCTGGAATAGTAGCAAGAAAAAACCTTTCCCTAGAAAAAATACAGATATATCACAACAAGGCATAACTGCTGGGTGTTGCCCGAGGCTGACCTGTCCCAAGACTGAATGTAGCCACATCAAATTGGTTGTCATTTTTAATTACTATGAAGAATACCCCTTCCACAATCACGTAAGTAGGGCCAGCCTGGGCAGATGACAGTAGGTACAGCTGCTCAGTATTCATTCAACAGATTACGCGATCTCTGTACACCCAATCACAGTAACTTACCAGCTCGGACACTGCAGAGGCAAGCACTTTCCATGTTAGAGGAGTCCACAATACACCAAAATTTGTTCTTTTACACTGCAGTGTTGAGCTGTGGTTACAATACCACCAGCCAGAGGCTCTGCACCAACTCCTTTCACCCCCGGATAATGTGCGCTGCTCTGTTGTATAAGAAATGGGTGTGCTATTCAGCTCTGATTTATTCAGGTAATATCCATTCAAGCTGATTGCAACCTACTGAAATAGCAAGTACTGGACACACATTTAAATTTAACTATCTATTGTGACACAGCGATAAATTTAGACTGGCTCCAGGACCTGTGTTTGTCGTTATACGTCACTTCACAGCAAAGCTCTATGCCACTGAAAAACTCCGGCAGTCCTTAAATTGCTGCTGTGTCACTTTTTCCCAAATTTAGCCTTTTGAAGAGTACTGGAAAATCCTACAGAGATAAGAGAAAATGTTGCTAACACAGCTCGGCCATGCACAGCCATTGCTGCTATCTTCTCTCCTTGTTAGGCTCCCACCTTGCCTGCACCACACTGAACCGTCTCTACCATTTTTCTGTAACAGACACACACAAAGAAGAAGTAACTAAATCAAAAAAAGGCCATCTAATGCTACAAAGCCAATCCTACAATAAGTCTAGATGGCTTGCAAGGCTGCCCACTTAATAAAGTGGAGCTTGTGTAGCACTGGGGGCTCAGAGACGTCCTTACTGGGGATTTGCAAAGTGCTGCTTCCCTCCCTCCCAGCACCACCAGGGCTGGAAGTTCCCCCTACGTGCCATCCACAAGTTCAAAATATGCCAGCACTTGCAATTTTTTCTCTGTTGTATTGCCCTTTACTCTGAGTTTTGCTGAAAAGGCATGGGGAGCCTGGAGGCACCATCCAAATCCTCCTCTGCAAGCAGATAGCTGACTTCACAGGGGACAGATTTTGGGGGGCAGTGTACTGAATTTCCACCCCTCTGTGACTCAGGTATGAACACCACGAAAAATTAACGTATCTTTAGACATTTGTCCCCAAAGGCAAATTGTTTTCCCTGCACAGGTCACAGAGCTATCAGAACACCATGTAAACAAGTGCTCTCCATTATGAGGGCAACCAACCCCATTAAAAAAAAAAAAAACATAACAAACCAAACCTACACCTTACATTTCTTGCATGTGTTTTCACATATGCTACTGCTCTGCACGTTTAAGCAGCAAATAAATCAGCTCCTCACACAAAGGTTTCAAGGTGGGAACACACTAATAGAGAATTTACTCAGTATGTGGTCTGTGCAGTCAAAGATGTGTAAGAAAAGCTTCGATTACCCCGGTTTGCCTCTCTTGGGAACCAGCACTACACAGCAGCGAGGCACATGGTGCCCGGGAACACAAGGACAATATTCAGCAGCATGGTTATTGTGTTAGCAAGGTAAACACCGATATCTCTGCTTGCTCCTGCCCCGCTCTGCCTGTTGCTCCTGCATCGGTCTGAGCAGCTCTCTCTCATGTACAAAAATCACATATGTGTAGGAGGAAAATAAGAGCCCTTATGAATTTTTCCATCTCATACCAACTCAAGAACAGCAGACAAAGCTCAAAATATCCTCTATGAAATGTTTTGGGTGATGGTTAGTTGGATGTTTGGGTTTTTTGGTTTGGGTCATTTTGACTTTCATACTAAAAGTTCACGGAAAAGTTTTACTCTAAGGATTTCTGTATGTGATATTGCAGTCCTGCACGCTGCTGTTGCAGGGAACCCATACATCAGTGCAATGCCCGTTCAGCAGCAGATCACTATATGGAACCAGATGTGCAAAAGTGACAACATAAAATATAGTAAGTAAAGAAATACATTATCTTAGGTTGCTCTGAAAATGTATTTGGTAGCAGGGTATCAGATTTTCCCTAGAGCAGAGTAGATGAAAGGTTTGTGCAGTAATGTATAAAAGGTAAAAATAGTTATTGTCTGGTTTCCATAAAACCAGAGTCCTTCTGGCACTATCATCTCACCCAACTTCTCCTCCCAGTTGGTAGATTGCTTAACCCCATGACGGTTTCTCACAAAGAGGTCTGTAATAACATAGCCGCAGAACACTTAATGGGAGATGCAGCTAGTAAGGGAATAAGACCAACTCGCATTCACACTGTTATCCACTGTAATTTGTTTGCGGTTGGTAAAGAAAATGGATGAGCGACTCCCCCCGTGCTGCACCTCCCCCAGCAGCCCTTGACTGACAGCCTCTCCGTGCTTCGCCTCTCCAAACCAATATGATGCATTGTCCTTTGGCAGCAAGCTTGCGCTAACAGCAAGCGCTGTCTGTTCTGGGAACATTAGAGACGTGCTGATGCCAGAGCAAGGTAAGTTACCGCTATCTTTAATTCCTACTGGGTATAATACTAGAAACAATGAGGATCGAATGGGCAGCGCAAGGCTTGCAGACAAACAGACATGGGATTTATTATCTCAGCAGAGATCCTCCAAACCACACCTGACAAATTATCCTCAGGATAGCCTGCCCTGCCAGGATCTCCCAAACATGTTTTTCTGCCAAAATAACCTGGGTCTACAATGGAGCGGGAAGAATATCCTTGGCCCGACAAGTCCCCCAAAACTTTCCGGAAAAGTATGGATTTATCCTTACAGCTGAATAGCGTGCACCTTTAGTAATGCCAAAAATTAACCACCAAAATGATTTGTCAGATGAGATGAGTTACAGAAGGAAAAGGACCCCCCACCATAAGCACTGCAGCTGCCAAGTGAGAGAAAGCAAAGCTCAGGTAGCAAAAGCAACACCCATCATGCAGCATGGCTGGGATATTTGCATAGCCATGGTACAGCCAAGCCCTGGGGATGAGACCCTATGGGAACACCTTCCTGAACACCACACTGGGTTCCTTATGGAGCAAGGGGCATGGAGATATGGGGGGCACCTTCTTGCCCCAGCATTAGACAATGGCGGTGCTTGGGCTTTGCCAATGGGAAAAGGCACCTTCAGGAGTTGACGGCTCAAGGTTACTACTACCTCCACCCTGGTCCTTTGCAGGAAGGACTGGAAAAGCCTTTCTGGAGCTCCCCAGGTGGACTACTCAAACATTGTAGCTTGCAAAGAGCAGGTCAGCCGAGCCCAGCTAACTGGTTTCCACCTAGCTGCTCCTGTGAGCAGTTTGTCTTCAACAGCTAAATATAGCACCTTTGCACAGATTTGTCGACAGTTGGCTTTCCGCTCTCCGAAATTATTAAAACAGTAAAAGGGAAAAGCCAACTGCTTAGAAAGAAAAATGCCCTTTATACAATCAGGGAGAAAAAGAGCCTCTGAACTTTGAGCAACAGAGCTAGATGCCCCGCAAGACAGTGCCCTACCAGTTTCGAGGGATCGCCTAGGTCTACTGCTATTGTCACAGCCCCACCACCAGTTACCTCCACCACCACCATCTGCCTCTGGCAGCAAACAGTCTCTAGGCATCGTGTCGCTCAAGGCTCTGGTGCAGAGGCACCTCTCATCAACTCTCTCTTACACCCTCCTCTCTTCCATTCATTTTTCCCCTTCTCTCTGGTTTCCCCCCATAGCTTTTCTTTGCTCTTTCCTTCTTCCTTCCCTCCACCAGCCAATGCATTTCCCTCACCCAAAACCCACTTTCTGCTCATTAGGAACATGGGAGTAGGTCCCTGTTATGCTGTATTTACTTTAATTATATTATTTAGCAACCAGATGTCTTTGTAAGCTGTGAATTCTTCCATGCAGAATATATTCCTTGATAACCAAGGGAGAAAAACTTTCAACTTCAGCTGTGACTCAAGGAACTCAATTTGTTTACATTGGTAGGTGCTTATTAAACACCTCCTTACTAAAGAAACCTCCGAATAAACATACCAGTACATTTATTTTCATTACTTATGGGGGCATCTCAGTAAAAATAGGATTTGGACAACAAACTACAGCCCAAGATTTCAGTGCTATACCAAGAGGATGCCATGGCTAATGATGCTAACAGCTACTAGGGGGAAGAGAGCTGCTACATGTAATCAAACACTACAACTGAATGCTGAAATTTTAAGTCAACTGAATATTGATCACATTTTTTATGCTGTCATGAAACCGCTTGAAGATACTGTAATACCATCCCTCAGCTCCTGGGGAGCACCTACTGCCAGGGAGGCAATGTGCAGCAGTGATTACCCACATGACAGCACATAACGGGTTCAGACAAATGATTGCTCGCTTATCCCCTCCTGGTAGGAGCAAGGAGCCGCTGAGCACAGCGGGCAGAAGAGCCCATCTTCTGCTGAGTACTAATTTGGGTAATGGATACAGGCACTGGAGGCTAAGGAAGCAGTTTCCACCTGATGCACTCTGGGGCTTCACGCATGAGATGACTTTTTGGATGCTCTCATTGAATTACTACTTTCAGAACAAATTGTCTTATTTTTATGCAGAGGTCAGACCCTGATGGCCTTAGTTCAGTTTCTTTAATAGTTACTCCACACTTCCCAGGTTAAAAAATGAAGCCAAGTTCTAGGATCCAGCCTTGGACATGGCCAGGAGCAGCAGTTCCGGTCTCCTGCCCGGGACAGCTGGGGCAAAAGCACGCTGCCCGCACCATGTACTTCAAGTATGGTATGGTTTTGAGTGGGGTCCTGGTTTCAGCAGGGATAGAGTTAATTTCCTTCCTAGTAGCTGGTACAGTGCTGTGTTTTGGATTTAGGATGAGAACAAAGTTGATAACACATCGATGTTTTAGTTGTTGCTAATTAGTGCTTACACTAGTCAAGGACTTTTCAGCTTCCCGTGCTCTACCGACTGAGAAGGCTGGAGATGCACAAGAAGCTGGGAGGGGGCACAGCCGGGACAGCTGACCCAAACTGGCCAAAGGGATATTCCACACCATGTGACGTCATGCTCAGTATAGAAACTGGGGGGAGTTGCCCGGGGGAGGGATGACCGCTGCTTGGGAACTGGCTGGGCATCGGTCGGTGAGCAATTGCATTGTGCATCACTTATTTTGTATATTCTATTATTATTATTATTATTTTCCCTTCCTTTTCTGTCCTATTAAACTGTCTTTATTTCAACCCACAAATTTTGCTCTTTTTTTCCCCCCATTCTCTCCCCCATCCCACTGGGGGCAGGGTGGGGGGAGTCAGCAAACAGCTGTATGGTGTTTAGCTGCCTGCCAGGTTAAACCACAAAAAGCAGGGATCATCCCATGCCACAGCAGATGAAGGGACCAGAGAGCAAGACATCCTCCATGCATGGGCCACGAGCTGCAGCTGGGGCACTTCCTGGCTGGGGCAGCAACCGTGCTGTGCTCAGGAGGTCCTTGCTCGCCCAAAGGAATGGGCGATGCAGGACCATAAGACAGAACCAGACTTTTAATAACCTGGGAATAGAGAAGAAAGGACTGAAGACATGACAAAAGGAGAAGACAGCAAAGAGGACAACAGCAGCCGCGCGAGCACATGAGCCCTCGGCAGCATCTCTGGGAGCACTTCATTCCCAAACTGCCAGAGCCACACCGCATTGCACCGAGCCCCAGCTCTGACACAGCAGTGAAGCTACCTGCAACTGCCTTGCTGGGACCTGCTGTCAGGAGGTTTATTTACTAAACCAGGGAATAATACATCTCGTGTAACATAATTTACTGCACAATTTCACAGCACTTCTAGAAAAACTCATCCTGGTGTCACTGTGATTACCAGCTACGATCTCTGCGTCTGTCTTGTTAGCTGGATGCTGTTTTGTGCTATTTCATCCATAATTGTAGCACAGTTGGTTCAACAAATCAGTTGGTTCATTATTTATTTTTTTTTATCCCAAAAGATAATATCCCACTACCCTTCCCCTTCATTTTATAAATCAACACACAAGGGGTTTATGTTAATTAAATTACATCACAATGATGCACTTTTTTTTCAGCACAGAAGGAAAAAAAATACGACCTACAATTCTCAGGCAATTCTTCCTCCCTACCTGGAGGTTTTCACAAGCTAGGTACCTGCACCCAGCAGTGAGGAAGCGCTAACAAGCCAAAGAAATAGTACACACCAAATTGCTGAACATGGATTTCCAGGGTTCCTGTTGGCTGGCATAACCCCGTTCCCCACTTCCAGCAATTCAGCGAAGAAGAGCAGAGGGCTGGAAAGCACTGCTTTAATTATTGCCATCAGTCTCCGAGACAGGGCACTTAAGAGCTTTAGCTGCTGTAAACACTCCCTTGATAGCAGATAAAGAATCTGCTGAAAGAGGGTTTTGTGTGGAGAAACCTCAGGGGCGTAGGGGTGGGTCTGGGGAACAGGCAGCTCCAAAACTGGCACGAAAGGCGGTGAGAGGGCATGTGAAAAATATTGGCTGGCTTTGCCCTGTTGTGATGACTGAAGTCGATGAAGGTCCACCAGGGATGCGTTTGGAGCAGGTACCGTCATTCATCTCCCCGTATTTCTCAGAATCCTCCCACGGTCCCCAGTGGCTCGTGGCAAGGGACCTCCCCAGCCACAGGTTGTTTCTCCACATTTGATAACCCTCTATGGATTTTTTTCTTCTATGAATGTGTTCCTCGCTGCATTTCAAAACATGTCATCGATTTGAGTGGTGTTTAAATAAACTTGGGCTTACAGCTGTCACCACCATAAATAAGTGATTGATACCAGCGATGAGCTGGGCCTACTCCTGTTAGAGATTAATTTGACCCCTGCCATTCAGTGCAGACAGACCAGCTGCCTGGAAAAGGCAGTTGGACTTTGTGTCTTCCCACGTTTGGGGCAGATTCATGCTTTTGGCAAAAGCAACGCGGCAGAGCCCAACCTCCTCCTGCTCCCCTTTTGCAGATCTTCACCCCGGGAAAGCTGCGGGGAGATGGCTTTCCCAGGGGGAGATGGGGAAGGAGCCCCGTCCCCTGGGCCCACTGCAGGTGCCCCACTGAAAAGCCATTTTCTTGGAGAGACCTGGATAGGTACATCCACACACCTCTATATGTGGCTGATGCAAACAGCCATTCAATTACAAGACAACGAAAAACATTTGAACACCACTTTGTACGTATGGCTGAGCCCCACCTTTATCTGTTTCAGAACAACATGATGACTGCAGTGCAAAACTCAAAAGCAAGTCATCAGGCTGAAGAAACCCATCTCTAAATCTCTACTTCGCTGCTCACTTCCCTTGCTTTGCACCTTTGTTTGAATAATTAACTTATTTATTAACTTCTCTGCTTAAAAAGTTAAGAAATAGTCAAGCATCAACACCAGAGACATTTAACAGATATAAATGTGTTTTTAATCACAGCCTACAGCCTGCCGGTTTCCACGTGCCAACCGTGAAGCAGCTTTTTACTGGGTGAACACCACATTGATGAAGAGCTTCGAAATATTGCCTGTCTACCACCAACTTTTGAGCACTGTGATTTTTATGCTGGTGAATCCTGCACAGAAGCCATGTGATCATGTGTATTTTTACACCTCCTGCAGCATGGTGGCACGTGTCTGCGTGTCCATACACGTTATGTTTCAGTAAAACAGCAATAACAGCTCAGAGGGTAACTCTGAGGTCTTTATTTTGAAGGCAAGCAGGTGAAGATGAATGATGATAAACAGAAAAGGGGAAGCCACCAGTTCATGCTGCTGCCAAACTTCCCGGTGACCCGTTTTTAATGACTAGAGCATCACACACAGAGTTTGACTTTTTATATAGAAAACGCTTAAAACAGTGAAACCGTGGAGCCAGACTCTAAAGCAAAGGAGTCAAAGAAATGCCATGGAGCATCCTGAAGGAGGGCTGAGAAACCAGTGCCTGAGCTGGAGCTGCCATATCCTCAGGTGTCCCCAGAGGCCATCCCTGGCACCACTGCCTCTGCCCTCTTCCCAGGTGACTCGACTTACAGTGCGTTTTGCCCAAGAGTTTTTACAAACACACAAAATGCTCCTTCCCAGGTGTTTCCAACTAGAGCTCCTACTTTTATTTATTAAAAACAACAACATGCAATTCTGTCTTAAGCCTCTCAACTCCTGCTACTAAAGCAGCTTCGGTCAGCATCCTTGCAGGCTGGGGCAGCCTGCTTTTATGGAAGGGGGGAGAAAAGAAACATGTCAGAGAAAAACTAAAAAGGCTGATGAACAAATACACATTCTCCCCTGAGATTTCCGTTTTGTTTTTCCCTTTAAAAAAGAAGAAAATAAAAGAATCAACAAAACCGATTCTTTTTTCTGCAAAGCCAGCTGAATCAGCTCCTCCAGCATTACTGCATCACCCCAATTTATTACAGCAAAATATGCTGTAGCAGTTTAACAGAGGGCCAGAAGCATTGTGTGGCTTCTTCCAGAGTGAAAACAGGGCCAAGACCACAAATGCAAGGCTGGGAGCGGACCCTACAACCAGGACACATCAGGAAGGCAAGGAAAGGCCAGTCCTCCTGGGGCACTTCAGCAACTATCAGCCTGGTTTCACACCTCTATAGTTTCAGAAAACATAAA